CGCGGTCTGACTCCAAAGGGACGCTTTCTGAGGCTAGCCGGATGGAGATAGGCCCGGAGTGCCATAGGCAGGGTAGTATAACTGCACAATAAAACATTTTTCCTCGAGGAGGAAAAAAGTTAAGAAAAATGATCATTAGTAAGTGCACCTTCAAATCGTAGTCCCTGATCCAGTCAATAGCGCGAGTACTCATTGTTTGGACCAGTGATCTCACTAATTCGACGAGACACTTAACTAAGCTGTATGCAGTTTTTATTACAATACGAAATTGTAATGAATATCAGTATAAACTATCAAAAATTATTAGATTGGAAGAAGCTATAAGATCGCGCTCAAGGATCAATTTGGAGTCTCATGAGTGGCTTTGTTTTCCTAATTGATTGGCAAAGGGGAACTTTGGAGCTAGGTTGCTGCTCAGGGATTTCATATCTGTGAGTTGTAACTCTAAAATGACGGTGTTTACCCAACGACAACTTACTTGGCTTATTTACTACAGTCTGTTTCCGTATGTCAATGCACTGCTCATTGTTTGTATCAGTGCGTCGTCTTAACTGATTAGCGTATCGTACCACCTGCAACTGCAATTCTGGAATAAAATAGTATACAATACCTTCTCTTTTCTACTAACAATAGTAGCTTACTCCCGCTTCCGTTGGCCGTTATAAGTTTGAACGTATACTGAGTCACCAACGCGAAATTGCCTATTGACGGCTCCATGATGTCGCTTAAAATGAGACTTCATTTTGTCGTTTTCTGAATCTGCCGTTTCCTGGCTACGGTCTGAGTGAAATTGGGAGAGCAACAAATCCATCGTTGAGCGAAGCTTACAGCCTTGAAATAACATGGCTGAGCAGTCGTTGGTCGTCGAATGTATTGTACCACGATAATGAAACAAAAAGTTAGCAATGCGTTCTTTTTCTGAACTTGGACTTCCTTTCAGAAGCATTCTCCTGAACGTGTCGACAAAACGTTCTGCTAACCGATTGCTTTGAGGACGATAGGAGAGTGAGAATATGTGCTTAATATTTTTTTGAACACAGAATGTACTAAATTCAGATTATTGAAATGGCGGTCCAATATCTGTCACCAAAGACTCCGGAATCCACAATCGAGTTTAATGATTCTATGATTGATTTTATGATTCATATAATTTAAACGAAATACTTCTGACCAATCAAACATTGAATCTACCAGGATTAGATAGTATTTACCTTTAAAAGGCCTGCGAAATCGTCTTGTAAACGTGTCCATGGTTTTTCAATTCTTGACGAAGGGCACAGTGGGGTCTTTCAAGGCGTCTTTTGAGTGCTGTTGCAAGAATCACAGTTTCGCACACAGTTCTCGACGTCCTTATCCATCTTGGGCCAAAAACAGTACTGTGGCACCTCTGATTTCATTCTTTGAATTTTAGGATGGCGAGAATTCAAAATTCCTACTACTTGCTCACGTAGTTGAGGTAAAATAATAATACGCGAGTTCCAAAAAATTGAACCGTTAATTATTGAAAGTTCAACGCGTTTTTGAAAATAAGGAAGAATTTCAGCAACATGTAGCTTATTTGGCCACCCTCTTTTTATATATTTCTTCACCAACTCCAAGTTTTTCTTTTCTGATGTAGCATTTGTGACGTCCATCAGTGAAATCGGTAATGATTCAAAAGGCGCAACGTATA